ACGACTGGTTCATATCATACCATCACACGTTTCCTGACCATCCCGCTGTTTTTGATTTACGGATGGATGCACTAGCCGCTTTCTGGGGCCGCTTTCACTGGGATGGAAATCTTCTAATTTAAGGGCCTGACGGTAAGACCCTCGCGCGGGAAAAATGTGCCCGAATACCCCCATATTCACTACGCAGTCTTTGCACCCGACGAATGGGCCCACAGGAATTTCTATTCACGTTATCATCGCTAGGCGGAACTTCGCCTCGGCATTTGCATCGTAAATTACAACGATGGGCGACATTGATCCTGCTCGCGTCAACCCACCTTGCTGTGGGCGCGGGACCGGTAGAGCCTGAGCTTGTCTTACGTCATACACCGCCGTTTCGGCGCGAATATCAGTGGTCACGGGTCCGGGCTGATTTTTTTGTCGGGTCATGTCGGGACCCCGTTGCGTCCGCGGACTCGGCGATTCGCCTCCGCCAAGATGTCAATGAAATACATTGGTCGATTGAATGCAATTCACCAGAGTTACGGGGTCGTCTGAGAAATTGTTGCACTACTGGGAGCATACGCACCATCGTAATTTAGTTTTTCATGCCCACCCGGAGCTCCATCGGTTCCCTTAGAGTGTACTGGAGACGGTGGCCAATGTCGATGTGTGGAAAACGATTTTTCGGCAAGCGTTTCACAATCATAAACTCTTTCTGCACCTAGCCCTCCATTTTTGGTTGAATATCTACGATGGGCAGGCGATCTCGAATAGTTGGCAGTCAGCTGCATCAAATCAAAAGCCTTCCCACGTTTGGAAACACGCAAACGGGCTAACGGAGTATCGAGTATGGACATGCTATCGTATCGCGAACAAGCAGCTAAATTTATACCATGCCTGCCGCACGCTGGACAGCAGTTGCCGTACGGTGCTTCAATGCCGGGGGCGCAAAGAGACTGCGGCACACATTTTCTGGGACTGCCCCACCGCATAAGCGTGTTGATGTAACTTAATATGACACTGGACCGGTGAGGGTGCGACAAACGTAGTCGTTTCCACCATTTTTTAAGCACAGCGCCAATCGCCAAGCCCCGCCAATTCCACGTCAGTTGAGTCTGCGGTTGCAAAGCCGTTTTCAAGATGACTCCGACGCCGCAGCAACAGAATTTGAACGGATCTGGTTCTTCTTAAGCTCCATCTGCCAAGAACATTTGTGGACCGAGCGGAACTCGGCGGCGTTAGAGGAGTTGTGACTACTCCATCAGCAAGTGTCCAAACGTACTGGAAACGCGGTGTTCGCCAGCTGCGGGATATTTCAATACGCGAACATCGAGCCGCGGCTACTGCTGTACGAGGTCCCCGGCTTCATTCATGTCGTGAATTACTGATACAAGAGCCCCGTGGACACCCGCCCTACGCGGGTGTCAGCCACGATCCGCTGCCTCGACCGGCGCTCATATCCTGGCTCAGAACCTGTCAGGCGTCTTGCACACATAAACAATGTCAATAGATGATCATGAAACCCCTTTAATTTTGATAGCCTGTTCAGGGCCTTGCCCTTGCACACGCTCAGCAATCGCTGCACGTGCATGCCGTCACGTCGACTGTGTCACGGCGCATTCATCGATATTGCTCCTGTACTCCTCTTTCTCAGCAGTCCCTCCCGCCTTGTCCGAAGATCGCCACCAATCACCTGAGTATACAATAGAAGTGTACGGGGGACGGGCTATTGTAGTTGGTGGAGTCATTGTCAAAGCAATACGAGAAAGAGAAAGAAATTGTGCCTTTTAGACGTGGCTGATGACTGAGTGACTTACAAACTAAACCACACATTTTTGTGTATATTGGCATTGCTGGTATTTTCCTATGTATCGTTGTTGATGATGTTAAGTAGACCCACGCTGGTGTCGCGTTCTGGGAGTTTGGCAACTCTTTGGCTGGTGCAAAGTTAAGTTGCCTGGAGGGATCATGGTCACCATGATTGACTTAATTCTACAGGTTCCTAAACGTCTCGATGCGACTTACAGTGTCCGAGATCAAATCGGCGTTGCTTTCGTCTTGTATTGGCGCAATGCATCAGGTACTTGCGATGCTGTGTGAAATGAATATCATCGATATTTGAGCTAAATGATCTGTGTTGTTGAGGTGACTGTGGTATACGGCACCGGTCTACTTGAGTTCACGCTGGCCCTAGCCGTTTTATATCCCATAGGCGTTTATGGTAGTATATTTACATGGTTTTACTTGCTTCTTTTCCTCTAGAGGAAGTAAAAGCAGGTTGGTAATTTGTGATGCTGCTGACAGGTTTGTGCAACACGGCTAACTAGTGTCGCGTGTGTATTTTAGATTTGATATGGCATGGCCGATCACATTATATAATAAAATGGCGTGGGTTGGTCTGCTTTTTGCTTGCACGAGATGTCTTTTGCACAAAGTCATTGCGAATTACTTTTTGATGACACCAGTAGATGATGCCGAGGAGACATGTCCTTGCTGACGTTATGCTAAGGAGAGCGTCAATAGTCCAGATTAGCAACTAATAAGTGTGTAAAGAATGTAAATACAGATATAAGAGATTTCAATAGCAGTATCAAACATATTTAGCAAGCCGACTATACCCAGGGTATTTGTCCTGGAAGTGTTTCGAGCTAGTGAAGAGGCAGCTCGCTCGCAACACCTACAACCAGTGCCTTAGAATTTGTCCGTAACCGGCTTCAGTGTCTCTCATGTGCAATGATTGAGCCTATTCAACACAAAGACGCGTTAATTTCGTCAAATTTGTTGCAAGTGCCGCCATCGCGACTCGCGCATTTGGACATACCACCACCATCCCACCTTTCGCCCTTAAACGCGACGACGCAGCCAATTCCGCCTCTGCAAAGACTGTCTCGTCCGAGGCCGCTGATGTTTAAACAGCAACAGGTTCCACCGGTTCAGGAATCGTCGCTGCAGATGTAGCCGTCACGCCCTTGGCTCCCACCTGCGCCGTTGCAGGAGCCGTCGTCTCGCAATTATAGACTGCAGTCCGTTTAAAAAGCGGGTGTCCGAGTTATCTTAGAAACGTTGCTAACGAAGTTCAATAGAAATTGGTATTTTCTTTACTCTTTTTTTGAACATATAAAATAAGGTTAATGGATAGCCTCATCGTAACGGTGTCATTTTAGGAGAACACTGGTGTTTTTTTACGATTTCCCCATATTGGCGACATGTCGAGCTCCACGCAGCTGTAGAGACTATGCAAGCTTCAAGTACGAACGCGGCACCAAACGTTGCATCGACGTGAATAGCCTGCGGATATGCGAAAATGGAGCCAGCATCGGACGTGCGCGTACAAGCGAAGACATAGCGCAGGCCACGCCGAGGAAAGTCGCTCGGCTACTGTGATCTGTCATGACAAACGTACGAATGATTGACAAGCGAAGTCGCCCTCATAAACAAGTTGCAAAGCGTGTCGACAAGTTGTTTCGATTACCACCATAACACACGTCCTGTAACGACTCCGATCGGGAACACGATCCTTTCTACGCACGGGATGGGCAAGCCGCTTGTGCAGGCTAAGCCACTTATCCTCGGATGTATCGCCTCTGACGGAGCCATAAGGTCAAGAGGTTCGATTCGAAGAAACTAGACGCCGTGGCACATGCGTCTGCCGTATTCAGTGAGCACGTGATCGACGATCGCTGGCCTCAGCCCACCCAACAAATGTGGACATCGATCAGTTCTCACTACGACAACTGCGGCTATTGATCAGTGTCCTCTACGTCTACTTCAGCAGCGATAGACTATCTTCGAGGTATCGCTGCAAGAGCAAATCAGTACAGTGAGCTCTTGTTGTTTCCTACAGTAGGCTATCCATACCCATCTCTGCTAATATCCCAATCGTTCTTCGAAATCGGCTGCTACGACTTTGGAGCACGTTGTTTCCAACTGGGACGCAGTCTTACGCAAGTTGCACGAGCTTTAGGAACCATTCCAGTGCCAACTCTCACTCAGCAGCCGTGTCGACTGACATGATCTCAAGTTCGCCATGCCAGCTACAAGAGAGAGAGTGCCATGCGGTCGACCGTCTTCACCTCAGTTGCTTGAAGAACTCTGGTCAGTAGCGCGCAGCAGATCTACCAAAGGCGCGGCTGGGGCAGCGCTGGCGACGCAACTTCCCATCAGCTGTATGGACGCTGCGATCCTCGTAGTAGACTTTCGTAGCGCGGGTGTTCACGCTTACGTGAACGCTGTTCTGAGCATGTGATGACGCATCGAGTGCTTCTAACCGAGTCACGCAAGCATGTCCATCACACAGCACCCGTCATCAGTAGTGACCACTCAATTCTCCACACCGGATGTAAAGCTTTTGAAAAGTCAACACCTCCAACGCATGGCATCGGGTCGTCTCGGTCGAAATCGAGGCATATGACTGCACAGCCTCGACGTCAACTTCGAGCGGCCAGACCCATGACGTCTGTGACGAATCTCGGCCGGGATCCGAGTTGTCGCTTGCCGCTACCTCAGCCAACGGATTGGCGTTAACGAGACACATCTGACGGTAGTATGCGTTCGTGATGGATACGAGTCCTCATCACAGCAGATCGGACATTTGAGCAATGGCAGTCAAAAGATTGTGGTGGTGATGTACGGGACTTTGCTGAGCGCACAACCAGAACGTGGGGTCGTCCCCTCTAGCGGCTCGTTTCTATCTGCTCCCGACTCTATAGAGCCGTTGCAGCTGATCCGAATATACGAAGCGGAGTGTCGCATCGAATGACGAACAGGCGACCGCTATAGCCCATCACCCGACGACGGCACTTGTTGGACACTGCCGCCGATGGAAGTCGGTCTCTACTTTGCACACTGCTCTGAGAAAATCGACACGAGCCGACTCCGCGACGAGACGGCACAGGCGCAGCCCACACAACGAGACAATCGCTCGTCGTCGCGTCTTTCGTGTCCATTTGCCGCAGCTTTTCAGCGCTGTCATTTCTCAATTCGCCTTCGAGGTCAACCGTCTGCACCCCCCTCGACCGATGAACGTCTGCCTTACGACTTTCCTCGCGGCGGTCGCGGCGCTGTCGACGCGCGCCAGTGCTGCAAAGTGCCCCTTTGGCTATGACCAAGTGGCGGCCGTGAGAGACCAGGACCGCCAGATCACCCACGAGCTCTACAGCGCCCAGAGCTGCGATACGATCGACTATCGCCTCGTGGCACAGGACCTCGAAAAGCTCATGATCGACTCGCAGGACTTTTGGCCCGCGGACTATGGCCACTACAACGGTCTGTTCATCCGCCTCGCGTGGCACTGCAGCGGGGCGTACCGTCGCATGGACGGACGCGGCGGCTGCGACGGCGCCCGCATCCGCTTCAATCCAGAGCGCAGCTGGCCGGACAATACGAATTTGGACAAAGCACTGCGGCTGTTGGAGCCCATTAAGGCCAAGTACGGCGACGCCCTGTCCTGGGGCGACCTCATTGTCTTGTCGGGGGACGTCGCGATCAAGAGCGCCGGGGGCCCTGTGGTCGGCTTTTGTGGCGGTCGCCTCGACGACGTCGACGGGACCAGCAGCTTGCAACTGGGGCCATCGATCAGGCAGGAACGGGTTGCACCGTGTGCTGTGGACGGCCAGTGCAACGAGCCACTCGGTCCGACGACCATTGGCCTGATCTACGTGAATCCCGAGGGGCCAATGGGCGAGCCCGACCCGGTGGGATCAGCTCGCGACGTGCGCGATACGTTCAGCCGCATGGGGATGAACGACCGCGAGACCGTGGCGCTCATTGGCGGGGGCCACGCGATTGGCAAGACACACGGTGCGTGCCCGACTGGTCCTGGTTTGTCCCCGCTCGAGGCCCCTGAGAACCCGTGGCAAGGAACCTGTGGCGAAGGCCCAATGCGGGGCAAGGGTAACAACACGTTCACCAGTGGCTTCGAAGGTGCGTGGACGTCGACGCCGACCAAGTGGAGCAACGAGTACTTCCGGAGCTTGACCACCTACGAGTGGGAAAAGGTCGTCAGCCCAGGAGGCCGTGTGCATTGGCGCCCTGTTCCCGACACGAATCCGCCTGTGCGGATGGTCACGGCCGACATTGCACTGCTGCACGACGAGAGCTTTCGCACCCTTTCGCTCGAGTTCGCTGCGGACCCGGCAGCTCTGGACGAAGCTTTTGCCAACGCCTGGTACAAGCTCATGTCGCGTGACATGGGCCCCGTTGCTCGCTGTCGTGGCAACGACATTCCTCCTGTCCAGCCGTTTCAGCACCCGCTGCCACCGACCCCTGCGACGTTACCGGATTTCAATGCCGTGCGGCTGGACATTCGGGAGCTGCTCAGGAAACCCGTGGCCGGTCTCCCGAGCGACGGGGCCAGCGATGGGACGCCCTACAACGGCGCTCTGTTTGTGCATGCAGCGTGGCAATGTGCGTCGACGTTCCGCATCACCGACTACGCCGGAGGCTGCAACGGGGCCAAGATTCGGTTCGCGCCGCAGAAAGATTGGCCTGTGAACGCTGGCGTGGACAAGATCATTGCTGCGCTCGAGCCGATTAAGACCAAGTACGCGACGCTCTCGACCGCTGATCTGATTGTGCTGGCTGGACAAGTTGCGCTGGAAGAAGAGACCAACGTGAAGATCGACTTTCTCGGGGGGCGCACAGACGGCGTGAGTGGCGAGGAGGATGAAAGCCTAGCCCCGCGTGAGAACTACCCTTCGGTTGTGGCCAAGGTGCTCGACGATATCAGGATCCTGGGGGTATCGCAGGCAGAAGCCGTGGCTTTGGCTGGTCGACCGCGTAGCGTGGAGCAGCAGAAGGTCCTGGGCTACAGCGGCTCGTACTCGCAGAACTCGGCTACGTTCTCGAACGAGTACTTCCAGATCCTGTTGACTCAGCAGTGGAGTCGGACGGGCGCAGACGAGTTCAGAGCTGACGGCAAGGGCGAGAGCTATTACATGATGGCAACGGACGTAGCGCTGATGGAGGCGCCCGAGCTCAAGAAGCTGGTGGAGCAGTTTGCCAATGACGAGGTCCTGTTCAAGCGCGTGTTTGCATCGGCCTGGGCCAAGGTCATGACGGCTGACCATTTCAACGCCAGCAGCTATTGAGTGTGCATGGCCATTGTTTATGTGCATGTTAGAAAAAGGTTAGAGAGATCCTAAGAATGAAAGACGATGACAACCAAAGTAGCGGTTCTTCTCGTGCTTTTCCTTTGTCTTCATCTTCTTCGTCATGTGCTTCTCGTTCCTATCGAGTTGCTACTGTACCAGACAGAATCGCACATATCGTGCCGACAGTAGCCAATAAACACTCCATCCTGCACGAACGTCCTGGCTGTGAAGGTACCTCATGCTTAGCTCTGCGCTTCAAATTCATTGGAGACCATCGTCCGTGTAACGATATGCATCCACCACACACTCAATCTTCTCCTGTCCGCTCACTTTGTACCATTGTGTAAACGGCATTGACCAGGCAGGGATCACGTGAAGCAAGGGGCTCAAGCAACTATGCCAAGATGGTATACATCCGCTTGGATCTCTGCCTTCTCTTGTACAAGCAGCTTGTTGTTGCATATTTGACCTCCTGACTTTTGTCAGTGGCCGCCGACGTTACAAAGTCTTGTGGACCCAGCACGAACGACATGGGGGTACGAGAAAAAGCGGCATCACGATACCCTCACGATCTACTCGAGATCTTGCGGGACTAAGCGTCTTTGGTACACTGACAACACATTGTCGCGAGTTGACGGTTGTAAGCGCACTGCATGTGCCATTTTTATCGACCTCACCGTAGATGGATCTCCAGGTACTCACTACAAACCACACAGCAACAGCGACGTGAAAATGAGTTCTTCGCTGCCGTAGCGGTGGCTGAGCTAATGCTGCCGCAGCTTCTTTGCCGCACGTGTGGTACTTCTGACGTCAAATCTCTGCTAGAAACTTGGTCTTAGCTTGAAACGTATGGTGTGCTCTGCACGTCGTAAGGAGCTCTTGCACATCGTCAAGAACACTTGTGAATGTGTCGGCTGAAGTGTGTGACAGGTGGTCGAAAATGTTGCGGATCTGCACTTAGATGAATATGATGGGACTTGATTTTGGAAAGACGCCGGTCGGCAAAGGCCGATAGGTAGCAACAACGATCTTTGTCGCTGCACACATGACAAGTGTTCAACGATCAACAACTTGTCATGGAGTGCCGACGTGTAGCGAAATTACACAGCTCCTTCAGTCAGAGGAAGACTTAACGCTCTTACGAGCAACTTTGGTTCTACGAACCCGACTCAAAGAGTCAACAGCTCCGATAGCGTACGGCCCCTGTTCCAGGCGGACCAAACGATTTAAAGGATCAAACGCACTAAGTGCACAAGGAGTAGCTGCCTTAACAAGGCGTTGCTACTTCCTTACGATCGCAAGACGCCTCAGAGAGGCACGTGTCTTTTGTTGATCAAAATGGGAACTGAATTTTGTTTCTTCTTTCAACCTAAAAGAACACCGTAGAACAAAGTAAATAACCTACTCGCTTATGTCCTAATTAAAACCGCTCAAACGATCTCGTAATCAATGGTTGACAGACATCAGTCTTCAACAATAGATACTTGTGTTCTAATATTACTAAAAAGGGATCCCATCCCTTGTGTGTACCACATCTATTGTCGACTACCAGTCGACGTGTAACCCCGTTACACCCTCCCCCACCAGACAGACGTTTCCACAAAACGTCAATCGAAGTCTTTCCTCGAAGAGGACGGTGTGTGTGCGCTCCAATCTCACGGCTGGCAAAACACAAAAAACCATGGCATCGCCACCCTGTGAGTCCTCGACTCTCTCGTCTTACCTCGGCATCGATGTGAATGTGAATTATGGTAGCGATACCGGTATCCATTATGACGAGAGGACAATGCTCGACTCACCAGTGCAAGAGGCACGGCCACATACTGCACCGAACCCATTTGCCGAGCATGGCGAAGCCAACTCGCTATCGGCGCCGCATCAAACACTTATCGTGGGCGATGCCATCATCACCAATCCGCTCGATGAGCAACAACAACTAGTACTCCACCACGAGGAGAGCGCTCAGCGCCGTATGTAGCTTGCTGCAACCCTTGAAGGACGTCGTGGCCATCTGGTCACT